TATCATTCCTCTGTACATTTTATCATTTACAGGTTCACCTGATTCATCCATTGTAAGTTTGACTGAGGATCCCATGGGTGTGACAGCAAACTTTAAGTTTTTTAACTCAAAACGTTCCAACATATTAAGTAGATATTTAGATTGACTTATGAAGGTACCTTTTTCAGTTTGCTGAACTTGCAAACCTAGAAAGTAAGTTAATTCACCCATTAGACTCATTTCAAAAGCCCCTTTCATTGCTGTTTCAAACTCCTTGCATAGTTTTTGACTGGAGGATCCAAAAATTATGTCGTCAACATATACTTGTACAAGTATTGTATGACCATTTAAGCTTTTAATAAATAATGTTTTGTCCACAGAACCTCTGTGAAAACCATCAGAAATCAAAAAATTGCTAAGCTTATCATACCAGGCCCTAGGAGCCTGCTTTAACCCATACAGTGCTTTATTTAACTTGTATACATGATCTGGGAATTTATGATTCTCAAAACCAGGAGGTTGAGCTACATAAACCTCTTCTTTTAGATCCCCATTTAAAAACGCACTTTTTACATCCATTTGATATAGTTTGAATTTTTTTGAAGCAGCAAAAGCACACAATAGTCTGATAGCTTCCAGTCTAGCCACAGGGGCAAATGACTCATCAAAATCAATACCTTCTTCCTGATCATAACCTTGAGCTACGAACCTAGATTTATTTTTGGTTATATCCCCAATTTCATCAGTCTTATTTTTGTATACCCACTTAGTGCCAATTATAGGTTTGTCTTCTGGTTTAGGTACCAGTTCCCATACATTCAGTCTCTCAAAATACCCTATTTCATCTTGCATTGAAGCTGTCCAAAATTCATCATTTAAAGCCTCACGAATGTTTCTAGGTTCTATCAAGGAAACAAATGCAGTATGCATAGAAGGCGACTTGGATCTAGTGACCATACCTTGATTTATGTCACCAATGATCTGATTTGAAGGATGTCGTCTCTGAATATGCAGTGGTGCCTGTCTCCCTTCATTTTGGTCACTTTCCTTTTCTGTTTCTGCAACTGTTTCTTCTGTTACATCAACATCTGCTTTATCTTGATTTTTCTCCCTGACCAGATCCTTCTGATATGATCTTCCAAGCCCAAGATCATCATCTTCCTCTATAGGCTCTGCACACTCACTTGGAGAATCATCAAATACCACATGTATGGACTCCTCAACTTTGAGGGTCCGTTTGTTATAAACCCTATATGCTTTACTATGTGTGGAGTATCCCAGAAAAATTGCTTCATCTGATTTAGAATCAAATTTTCCAAGATTATCCTTAGTATTTAAAACAAAACATTTGCAGCCAAATGGATGAAAATATCCTAGGTTAGGTTTTCTATCTTTCCAAAATTCATATGGAGTTTTGTTTAACTTAGACCTAATTAAAGCTTTGTTTATTGTGTAACAAGCAGTGTTGATAGCTTCAACCCAGAATTGCTTAGGCAATCCATAATCATTCAACATTGTCCTAGCTATATCAATCAGGGTTCGATTCTTTCTCTCCACAACACCATTTTGCTGAGGTGTTCTTGGAGCAGAAAAGTTGTGAAATATACCTGATTCTTCACAAAAAATTTCAAAGTTATCAGAGATAAACTCCCCCCCATGATCACTTCTGACACTAGCAATTTTGGTATCCTTCTCATTTCCAAACGTTTCACTAGATTTTTAAAGTGCACAAAGGTTTCTCCTTTATTAGCCAGAAACAGAACCCATGTATATCTAGAGTAATCATCCACCACAACACATGCATAATATTTCCCTCCAAGACTCATTACATTACTAGGACCAAATAAGTCTAGATGCAACAATTCTAAAGGTCTGGTTGAGGAAATCACATTTTTACTCTTGAACGATGTTCTAACTTGTTTACCTCTGGTACATGCTTCACAGAAGAATTCTTTTCTGCTGTTTAATCTAGGTATCCCTGTTACAATGTTCAAATTGACCAATCTTGCTAGAGATCCCACACTTATGTGACCTAGTTTCCTATGCCACTCCATTTGACTGTTTTTATCTAAAGAAACTAAACACATTTCATTGAATTCCCTTTTGTTTTCCAGATTTATGCAAAACAGTTTCCCTTTTCTTTTACCAGTAAATAGAACCCTATTATTTTCAATGTTTTCTACTGAGCATTTGTTTGGTTCTGTTTGTGCCTGGAATGTACCAAGCGGTTTGTGAGACTCCACTGGCCTTGGGCGGCTTCGATGGTCGAGGGCGGTCTCCGAAACCCTGCAGAAAGGTCCTCAGGGGGTTCCTGGGACCTCCTCCGATGCCTAAGTTAGAGAGAGAAGTGAGGTATGAGTAAATAAGAGAGAGAATGAAGTAGGTTGAAGTTACCATAAATGTGATCCTACGAGGGGTATTTATACTAGCCTCGGCTAGGCATTAAGCATTTAATGTTGTGTCGGGCGGTCAAGGACGCCTCTGGATTCCTTCGTCCTTTTTGTCAGGTTATGTACGTAGAATCCAGAATGTCGTGCGGTCCTTGGGCGTCCGGCCCTGGTCATGTCGGGCGGTCTTTCGTTACTTGGACCACGGAGACCGCCTTGCCCGGGTCAGTTCCTTGGGCCTTATCCGTTCGTGTGGGCCTTGAGTGCTTCATGGGCTTATGGGCCGTGTGACTCAATGTATGACCCAACATTTGCCCCTTAGGCGGGAGAAGCTTTAGGTTTTCGCGTCTAATTGACTCGTTTTGTAATCATTGAGCGGGCACGGACCGCTAAGCCCCTAGCAAGCGTTTAGGGCGGCTTATGGTCGCTTCCCGTACCCTGCCAGTTTGCCCCTGGTCGCGGGAATCTAAAGCGACGAGCGCCTAAGGGGTAGCCCGGGGGCGGTTTCTTTAGCTCCTCGCTCTCGTTTGACAACTGTCGTTCCTCGGTTGCGGAGCCCTGACACCGAGAGGCGGAACGTCAGCTTGACGTGGGAAGACAGAACGTCTCCTCGCGGTGCCCGAGGCTGTCGCATCGGGATTTCGAATTCCCTTTTTCTTGCTATAAGGGCTTTTGGGGAAGAGTTTCGAACACTGAACTCCTCCCAATTTTAGAAGCTCTTCGTCCTCTTCCCCCCTTTTCTTACTCTCTTCGCACGATCAGAGTGTGCCGCCGCCGTCGCCTATAAAGCCGATCGCGTTTTTCAGGTACGGCTATCCTTGCTCTTTCCTCGCGTTTGTCTTTGTGTAGGTCCTCCGTCGTTTTTTGTGTGTGCTTCTCACTCTTCCATTTGCTGGCTTTGTAATCGCGCCGCCATTCCTCGGTGATCGGAATCGCTCAGAATGGCCGGCGACGCTTTGCCCACTGCTCCTGACGCCGGTGCTCCTAGCGGGAGCGCTCCCGTCGCGGCTCCTCCGTCGGTTGTCGCCGGGATTGACATCCCTTTGAGCTCCGCGGCTCTGACGGCGGTTCCGTCCATGGCGAAGAAGTCAACCGGCGCTGCTGTGACCGCCTTTGCTTCGCAAGGTATGAACCGCTCTTCCCCCGTTCGAAACACGTTTGGGTGTGTGTGGGATTTATTGGGTTTAGACTTGTATGTCGGGGATGCTTCTGAGTTAGCCGACTGTCTTGTTGGGGAATGTGTAGACTTAGATGACTATTTTGCTAACACACGCCCTGTACCAGTTGGGGTTGGGACTTCATCGTCGGCTGTGGGTGATAATTTGGGAGAATTTGATCGGGTAGGACTAGGTAGCCCCTCGTTGGAGGAGGACGTCGAGGTAAGCGGCGATGACGTGCGCTCGGAGGCGTCTCCTAGTACCTCCTCTTCTTTGGAGGTTGCCGACTCAGGGGAAGTACAACCGCCTTTGATCGCCATTCAAGATTCAGTGTATACCATTTACCATCACGAGGGTATGTGGGATGGGGAGGCGGTTCCTGCTGGGGTGAGTGAGCAGGGACCGAAGAATTCTGGAGCGGTCTTTAAGCCAGAGCAGGTGCTACACCGCCTTAAGACGCTCCGAATGCCTCCTGACTGGCAGTATGCGGCCCCGTCGCAGAGTAGCCGCTCTGGGTCCTGCCCCAGCGGTTGGATACCGATCCATGTGGAGCATGTCAAGCTCGGTTTGCGGTTCCCGCTTGACCCTATTCTGACCAAAGTTTTACATTGGCTGAATTGTACTCTGGGGCGGCTTTCGCCTACGGTTATCTTCCACTCGGTGATGTATCGTCTAGCATGTGACCGCATCAAGGAAGAACCTTCTTTTGAAGCTTTTAGATTGATTTACAATATCCGGGACTCTCCCAACTGTTGGTCGATTGGGAGACGGGAGAATTCGGTTGGCTTTGTAACTGGTGCGCCTAAGCTGGATTCGCCATGGTATAAAGAGTATTTCTTTGCTAAACCGTCCTGGAAATGGTATGTGGGAGACGCCGAGCCGCTGACAGGGTACGCGGTTGGCTCGAAGGACGCATGGTGTGATTCGCGTCTGTTTCCCCAGTCGGTGCGTGATCACGTTGACCGCATTGTGAAGGCGGTTCAGTTCCGTGTCCATCACAGTGGTGTTGACAGCGCCTACCAGCTTGTTCGTGGCTTTTACGGTTAGTGTTGCATTTGGCCGACTTTGAAATTTATTTTCTCATGTAGCTACTTATGCTTTCTTTCTCCAGGGTTTAGAGAGTTGGCGGATGCCAACAGGCCTAGGAGGAAGAAGACAGTGAAGACCGCCAGAGCAGGTGCCGCGTCCTCTTCGGTGGCGGCTTCGGTTGACCCGCCTGCCACTTCACCCATTCATTTGGATGCTGACTCTCCTAGCGCGGTTGGGGGTGGTCCGGCTCCTCCGCAGCGGGGAGCGGGGAAGAGGGTATTGCAGCAGGAGACTCCTGAGGCAGTGTCAAAGCGGGCTCGAGTTCGCGGCTCGCCTTCGGCGGTGGAGGAACGACGCGGGAAGGGTGTGAAGAGGCCAGAAAAACCGTCTCCGGTGAACGTCCCTCCCAAGGCCGCCACTGACACAGAGGCCGCGGAGTTGGCTTTCCATACCATCAGGGAGCAGCTCGTTATGCCCAACGAGTATACGGCCACCTCCCCCGAGAGCAACCGCAGGCTGGCTGGGACCGCCTCTCAGTTCTTCTTTGGGGTGAGTTGTACCGTGATTTTTTTTTTGCGCGTCCTTTAGTCGTGTTCGGCGCGTCTATTTTACTAACCTTTACTTGTGTGCTGCAGGCACAGATTGGGTTTTCACAGATCATTCTCCTCAACGACCGCTTGTCGAAGACGGTGGATGACAATGCGGTCGAGATTGCCAACCTCAAGAAGAGCCTGGAGAGCGGTCGCGCTGCATTGGAGGAGGAGTTGCGGCCTCAGTTGGAGAAGAGTTTCGGGGAACGGTTGGCGAGCAAGGAGAAGGAGCTGCTCAACGAGAAGGCAGGGGCGAAGGCGGTTCGTGAGGAGCGGGATCGCCTCTTAGACTCGCAGCGCAAGTCTAGTGAGATTGAGAAGGCTCTTGTGGAGGAGCAGGAAGCTTTACGGAGGGAGGTGGACGCCTTGAAGCTGGAGAAGGCGTCCTTGCAGGTCGCTCACGAGGCGGAGTTAACCGCCGTTCGTGCTGAGGCGGGGCCTGCCTACTTAGCCTCCGCAGACTTTATTGCTCGAGTTAAGGCAAAATACAAGGCGGTCGTTGGCAACGTAGTGGCCGCCATTCGTCACCTGTTTCGGGAGGAATGTCCTGATTTGGGCTGGGATTCTGACCGTGTGTGGGACGCGGTTGGTCATTGGTCGAGCTTGGATGTTAACTCGGAAGCGAGCGAGTCGGGTGAAGGTGAAGCTGAGGACGAGGAAGAAGGTGAAGGCGGAGACGCGGCTAGCGGTGGGTCTCCGAACGTTTGAGACCGCCCTTCATTTCCCACCTTCTAATTTATGACTTTTGGTTATGTGATCGCAAGTTAAGACATTTTCGTTTTGTGCGATCCTTGTTGGTGATGTATTGACAGTGTTTTGATCCGCGTTGGGGCGGGTGTTTAGTTTCCCTTTTGTTTTTGAGACTGTGTTGCCGCGGGACCGCATTGGAGCGGCATTTTGCTCGTGAATACGTAGCGAGGCTCTTTTGCTTTGTTCATGTGTTGGACCGCATGTCGCGGTGTCAAGTCATGCTAAATTACTGTGTTAAGCGTCCTTTGCGACGATACCTTTCTGTTTATTTCGTGGTGTGTAGAACCACTTATTCGGCCAATGTATGGCGGTTTGAGATGTAGCTTTTATCCTTTGTTTGGTGGCTAACACAGCACACATCTCCTCCTTCTGGCGAGGAACTTGTGTCTGTGTGTTTGTTGCGACCGTTTGTGAGCGGTCTTTATGCGTTATCTTCAATGGTCTATCGACTACGCTTTGCTTTTGACCCAGAGATTGGCGATTATGGGGGGCGGTTTCGGCAGTGACGCCCTTTCTTTCGCTCGATCGTGTGGTTTCTTATGTTGTACTGGACTTCGCGTTTTCCTACCTCAACTTGGGTAAGGCGAGTATCCAAGACCAGAATGTTGGCCGAAAGAGAAATCAGTGTATTACGTAAGGGAAAGTGGGTGCGTGATAGCAACCCGTACACTGTTACAAAAAAGGGGGGGGGGGGGAAACTGCCCCGCCTACTAAAAGAGAACCGAAAGCAGGTTCTTGGTAGCTACCCGTACATTGTTGTACTGATGAATGTAGTACGTTAGAGCGAGTCTGTGTGGTACTTCCGTAGATGCATGCCGTTCCATGTTTTGGAGATTGGGTCGCCCTCCATGGTTGCGAGTCGAAACGTGTTGGGGCCGGTCTTTTCTCCAATGAGGAATGGGCCCTCCCATGTGGCGGCCAGCTTGCCATGCTCATCTTTCCTCTGGAAGTCACGTTTAAGGACCATGTCTCCTTCTTCGAGCGGCCGCGGTTTCACGTTCTTGTTATAGGATGCGGCGACCTTCGCTTTCTCGCGCATGATGCGTTCCATGGCTGTGTCGCGCCTTGATTCGATCATGTCTAGCTGTGCGAGTAGATTCTCGTGATTGCGCTCCTGGTCGTACGCTTGAACTCGGAGGGAAGGTAAGTTCATTTCTTCTGTGGCGACCGCTTCGGAGCCATAAGTTAGGGCGAATGGGGTTTCGCCCGTGGCCGTCTTGTGAGTCGTGCGATGCGCCCATAGGATATGGGGCAGCTCAGCGGTCCATGCCCCTTTGGCCTCTCGGAGGCGCCTCTTCAACCCTTGGAGAATCAGCTTGTTGGACGCCTCTGCTTGGCCATTGGTCTGCGGGTAAGCGACTGAGGCCATGGTGCATATGATGCGGTTTCTTGCACAAAAATTTTCGAATGGACGACAGTCAAACTGCGTCCCATGATCAGTGATGATCGAATGAGGGACTCCGAATCGGATCATGATGTTGTTGAACACAAACTTCTGCACCCTTGCACTAGTGATGGTTTCCAGTGGTTCAGCCTCTATCCACTTGGTAAAATAGTCGACGGCGACCACCAAGTACTTTTTTCCCAGGGGCGCCGTAGGGAAGGGTCCCAGGAGGTCGAGTGCCCATCTTACGAACGGCCACGGTCCCACCACGCTCTGCAACTCGGAGCTCGGTTGGTGGTGTTTGGACGCGTGAACTTGGCATGCATGACACTTGAGGACGACATCGGAGGCATCTTTCTTGATGGTAGGCCAGTAGTAACCTTGCAGGAGAACAGTTCTTTCAAGCGATCTTGGACCGGCGTGCGTAGCGCACGTTCCCTGGTGTATTGCCTTCAAGGTCCACTTAGCCTCTTCGACTCCGAGGCACTTTAAGTAGGCACCGGAGAATGATCTTTTGAAGAGTTGGCCGTCTACCATCGAATACCGGGCCGCCTTTCGTTTGAGCGCCTTCCGCTCCACCGGGTTTTGCGGGGTGACGTCGTGTTCCAGATATTGGATCATGGGGGTTCGCCAGTCAGCGGCCTCGTCGATGTCCATGACCTCTTCTGTGAAATCACTCTCCTTGGTGACGGTGACCTGCCGGTCGCCCTCGAAGTCCATGGCGGTTGCGAGCTTGGAAAGCGCGTCCGCGTGTTGGTTGAGATCTTGGACGCTCTTTTTCATCCCCTTGAGCGCTGAGTAGAATAGTATATCCGCCGAGCTACCATTGTCAACCAGGGCTCTGGTGACTTTGAACTTGGAGGTTCGGAAGGAAATGACCAAAGGGTCCTCCGAATTTTCTTCGTTGACCAACTCTGAGGGCAAGAAGGCGACCTCTGTCGGTGTTCTCCGTTGCACGTTAAGGCACTGGGCGATGCGGTCCCCTTCGGTTCTTGGGCGCTTTCGCCCTCCTGCGATCGTTATGACTTCCATCCCATCATCGTCGTTTCGGGGTGCTCTGTAGGGAGGGGACTGCCTCTGCGGAGAGGTGACTTTGTTTCGAGAGCGGGACCTTGACCTTTCCTTTCTTGTGCGTCTTGTCTTGTCCTGCTCGGGACTCGGGGACTCCTCCCGCTCTTCTGCTGAGTGCTCTCTGTGGGACCGCCTCATTTCCAGCTTGCTTCTTAGGTCTCCTGGGGCCAGATGCCGGAGCGTGGCCTTGAACTCTCTACACTCTGTGGTGTCATGGGTCGTGATTTGGTGCCAGTCGCACCACTTTTTTCCTTCAGGCGGTTCTTGGGCGGAAGACGCCTCGTGCTTCCTTCCGCCTTTCCTTCGATCTCTTCCCTTTTCTCTGTCGGTGGAAAGGACGTCTCTTTTTCCTTCTCGGTCAGTGTACCTGTTTCGGTACGACCTTCGGTCTGGGGACCGCCTTCCCCTCCTGGAGTCTCCACGCTCTGAGGCGTCTCCGCGGGGGCGGCCTTGCTGGCCTCGGTCGTCGTTGGCTAGCGCTTCCTCCAATAAGATCGCTCGCCGCACCAATTGGTCTAAGTCAGACCAGGCCGCCAGGGTCGCCTCCTTTTTTATCAACGTTCTTTTCAGCTCGAGACTGGTCGTCGAGATTCGGAGGTTCCCGGCGGCCATGACTGGGGAGATACCGTCTATTTCACAAGCTATCGCGTTCCATCGGTCGTAGAACTCAGCAAGTGACTCCTCCTTCCTCTGTCGGCAACCTATGAGTGCCGAGACGGTGAGTTTGCGACGTCGTTGAGATGCGAATTTGGTGGAGAAGAGCATCGCAAACTGCTCAAAGTTTTCTATAATCCCTTCCGGAAGGGAGGTATACCAAGTTCGGCATTGACCGCTGAAGGTAACCGGGAACGCACGACACAAATCCGAGTCCGTTGCGTTGATGAGTTGCATTTTTAACATGAACGCACAAAGATGGTCGGCGGGATCTGACGTCCCGCCATAGGTTGGTAGTCCCAGAGAGGAGAAGTTTGGGGGGACCGGAGTCTTGAAGAGTTCTCTCGATAGGGGGTTTTGTAGAACGTTCGGGCTCTTGTGCTTCCCGAAGGTGGACCGCAAATGCTCCTCTAGAAAGTTGAGGTCTGGGTCGTCGGCCTCTGGTCCTCCGCCTTCTGTCCGAGCAGGGCTGTCGAGGATAAGAGCGCCTTTCAGCTTCTCGTCGCGCGCCTTTCCCCTCGAGCCCTCGGCGGGGTCGTCTCGAGTCTTCAGGAGTTGGAGAATTTGGGAAAGGCTGTCTTGCATGCTTGCGATTTGCATTCCTTGATTCTTGACCACCTCTTCCAGCTCGGGCTCATCTTCGACCCTCGGTGATAAGCCTCGGAGGGTGTTGTTTTCGGTCATCCCCTTGAGGGGGGTTTCGAAGTCGTCTCCCATCTCGTTCGCCACAAAGTAGTAGGGCCCCACGGTGGGCGCCAAAATGTTTGTGCCTGGAATGTACCAAGCGGTTTGTGAGACTCCACTGGCCTTGGGCGGCTTCGATGGTCGAGGGCAGTCTCCGAAACCCTGCAGAAAGGTCCTCAGGGGGTTCCTGGGACCTCCTCCGATGCCTAAGTTAGAGAGAGAAGTGAGGTATGAGTAAATAAGAGAGAGAATGAAGTAGGTTGAAGTTACCATAAATGTGATCCTACGAGGGGTATTTATACTAGCCTCGGCTAGGCATTAAGCATTTAATGTTGTGTCGGGCGGTCAAGGACGCCTCTGGATTCCTTCGTCCTTTTTGTCAGGTTATGTACGTAGAATCCAGAATGTCGTGCGGTCCTTGGGCGTCCGGCCCTGGTCATGTCGGGCGGTCTTTCGTTACTTGGACCACGGAGACCGCCCTTGCCCGGGTCAGTTCCTTGGGCCTTATCCGTTCGTGTGGGCCTTGAGTGCTTCATGGGCTTATGGGCCGTGTGACTCAATGTATGACCCAACAGGTTCAAAAATGACTCGATTAGTTTCACCACACATTTGACTTATTGAGAACAAATTATGTTTTAGACCATCAACTAGCATGACATTCTTAATGACAGGACCAGTTCCAATTTCACCTCTTCCAATTATATCAGTGCAGTAATTATCCCCAAAATAAACCTTACCTCTCTTACCCTTAGTTAGTTTAGTGAAAAGTTTTTCATTTCCAGTCATGTGATGTGAGCATCCACTATCCAGTATCCATTCACTGTCTTCCATGCTCACTTGGAAGCAGACCTGGACATGAAAACACATTTATTTGATTTTTGGTACCCATACTAATCTGGATACCCCTCCTCTAATCCTTATATTAGCACAGTTATAACTTAAATGTCCCTTATCATGACAAGAGAAGCAAGTTATTTCTTTCATCCTAGTTTCCTTGGCTATTCGTTTTTTACAGTGAGCAATGTAATGTCCCACATCATGACAGTAGAAGCATTCATTAGTTGATTTCTTATTGCGAGATTCACTTACTTTGGCTTTGATCCAGTTCTGTTGTTTAACAGGATACTGATTTCCTAAAGATTTCTTTAACTTAATGATTTCAGCCTCTAGTTCTACATTTCTATCAGCAGTTTCTTTTAATAATTCATCGATTCTGAGTTTCTCCTCTTTTAGCTTATTATATTTCTCAGAGATTTCTCTAAGTTCGGTTTTAAGCTTCAAATGTTTAAGCTTAACACTAGCAAATTCAGATTGAATATCTCTTATGGTTTCTACCATTTGATCATCTTCATTGTAGGAATCTGAATAGTAGTGAATATTGTGTACCTGAGACGGATTAGAGTCATCTTCGCTTTCCCAATTGCCATGTAGGCTTCGTATTTCCCGTTTGACTCCAGTTCATCATCCTCATCCTCACTGCAGCTCCAGGTAGCTACATAGGCCTTCTCGCGTTTCAGTTGTGGGCACTCAGCCTTGATATGCCCACTCCTTCCACACTTAAAACAGCCACCTTGCATTCCACCCCTGTCATTGGTGTTGATTTCCTTTCTGAATCTCGAGTTTGCTTTGAAGGGCTTCAACTGCTCCTTTTCTGATTCCCCTTCCTTTGATCTGTTGACAAACGCTCCTTTTCTTCTTTCTTTCCTTATACGCAGCATTTTTGCAACGTGTTTGCTCAGCATCGCCAACTCTTCATCCTCCATATCTTCTAAGCTGTCAAACTCATCTTCTGGAGCAGTAACCTTGAATGCTATACTTTTTTTCTCCCTTCTGGGTTCATCATTTTCTTCTCTTTTCAACTTGTCTTCATGTGTGATAAGTGACCCCATGAGCTCGTCCAAACTCAGTCGAGTTAAGTCCTTGGATTCTTCAATTGCTGTGACTTTGGGCGTCCACTTCTTAGGAAGAGCCCAAAGAATCTTTCGTACCAGATCTGCACTTGTATACTCGACTTCGAGATTCTTTAAGCTGTTGACTATAGTTGTGAATCTATCGTGCATTTCTTTGATAGATTCTTTAGGCTTCATCACAAACGACTCGAATTCTTGCTTGAGTCGATTGATTCTGGAGATCTTCACATGCGAAGTACCCTCATGTGCAACCTGTAACTTATCCCAGATCTCCTTGGCATTCTTGCATCCTGAGACTCGATGATATTCCTCAGGACCCAGCGCGCAATACATCAGATTAGTAGCATTCGAGTTGAGCTGGAAGTTCTTCTTGTCTTCTTCGGACCATTTACCTCTTGCCCCTTTGACTTCAAGTGGCCCATCCATCACGATATCCCAAAGATCTGGATCAGTGGAACCGATGAAGAGCTCCATCCTGTTCTTCCAGTATCCGTAGTTGACACCTTCGAATCTGGGAGGTCGCGTCTGAGAAAATCCATCGGCGAGATACACATTGCTGCTGTTCGACGAGCCCGACGCTATTCTCGACTTCACCGGAGGTTGCTAAGCCTTGTTCTACGGTGACAAGGCTCTGATACCACGTGTTGAATCGGTCGAGCGCGAGACCTTTCCTGCTTTTCGAGTGTTTCTCGAAGAAACAAAGAAGAACCCTAATTAGATTGTGAAATTGAGATCGAGGGATTTGGAAAACAATGTAAATCGATCGAGAGAAGTGTATTGAGCGCGGGTGAATGGACGAGTAGGTTGAGAACTGTTTGGGCTTAAGCCCAATTCGTTTATTCCGATCAACACCAAAATACGACCCAGCTCCTTGACTGTCTTTTCTTCTTTAAACGCCAACGTTTTGTTCTCCTTTTCTGTTTTCGTCTGGATCAGAATTCCTTCCCTGCAAAAGAACAGAGTGCTTGTGCCAAAACAGAGACTCAGCTGCACCAGAGTTAGAATAATAAAAGTTCAGGCCAAGACACCAGGATTTTTACGTGGTTTCCGATACTGATAAATCAGTATCGACTAGTCCACGGCCAAAGGCACTCGGATTGAGCCCTTTGACGATTTACTATGGATGTTGTTGTTCAGCTTACAAAGTACATAAACGATTCCCTTGTGACTCCCTGTCACACACACTCAGACTCCCCCTGGAACCCTGACTCCCCGTCACCTGTTCCACCTCAAGAGTACTGATCACTTAGAGCTCTCTCCCTGACAGCTCTAACTCTCTTTTGTTCTCTTTCAAACCCAGACTTTTTCTATCTCTCTGTTTGAAAATCACCCGAACAAAAGTGCACTCACAATTCCCTCTTTTCCCTTCTTAAGTATCCCCAGTCTATGACCGTTAGGTTCCCCTTGCTCAATCACTGTGATCGTGATTTGATCTTGATTCATAGTCGACTTTCCCAATTTGGTTTGACAGAATTTAGACTTTCCTTCTTTGGCTCCTCTGATGATTCAATCCTTTTGAGTCGTTGAACAAGCTTTTGCCAACAAGAGTGAACTTAAGGTTGGGTGAATTGGGAGAAGATAGGGTACAAACAAATTGGACATGTTTGTAAAAGTTTAAAAGTTCAACTACTATAATGCAATGCGAAAATAAAAAGGTACTAAAACACACCAAAATCTATGTATATGTTTGTGAAAAAATAAAGTTTAGATACTAAATTGTAATAATAAATTTGGGTACCGAAATATAATTTTCAAAACATTGTTTTCTTAATTGATTTCAGCCGATCCGAAAGCTTTTCCAGGCCCAAGCAGGTCAAACAGGAGCGGGGTAGGTCAGTTTACAAATTGACCTTGGACGGGCCTTCCAGACAGGGTTCTTACTCGATCACAGAGAGAACTAAGAGTAACAGCCAATTCGACTATGATGTTCACAGAGGTGAACTATTGAAATCAAGCACAAAACGCTTATGAATGTTTTCATTGTATCCATCCAACGATCACGATGTGCGCCTTAATCTGCCGGCTCGCAAATTGTGTTGTGAGGCCGGATTGATTCCCAGCTAGCTTGCACCGATCACCCGTCAAAGTGGTGAGACTTTTAAGTTCCCAACCTATTTTCAACTAAATGCATTAAAAAGGCCACTTATAGGTATTCTCAATTTAATATCAAACGGATACATCATACATACATATACATATGCATGATATATGCTCATGACTAACTGCTGTACCATGCATAATAAAGTATTGATTGGAGATGGGGAGAAAGAAGGTGTAGAAATGTCAAGAACTGGCTGGCTAGGGTTTTATTTGTTTTTTTTTGTTTTTTTTTTTTTTTCAATTCCTTGTGCTCCCTTCTTCCACTGTGTGTTCATATCTTCCCACCACTTGTTGCATCATCTACTTACTACTGCTACTGCTACCACTTTTACTACCTTCTCTTTCCCTTTTTTGTCTTCCAGAATATTAGAAGTCTTCCTCCTCCTCCTCCTCTCTCTCTCATCTCCCTCCCTCCTCCTCCATTCCCTTCCCCCTTAAGGTCAAAAACCCAAAAATTCTCTTCCCCATCTAGAGAGAGAAAAAAATGGGAAAACTGAAACAGTTCATCATTCCAAATTCCACACCATGAAGCTGCCCCTTCTCCTTTCTCTATCATCCCATAATTCCTTCGCCATGGGAAGCGACCATCACCAGCAGTACCATCACAATCACCATGAGCAAGAAGAGGAAGAAGAAGAAGGAGGTGACTCTTCAAAGTCAAGCCACTACTCCAACAAGATCTTCCTAAGCGATGAAGAAGAAGAAGAGGGAGAGGAAGGAGATGGTGTGGTTGGTGGTGGTGACAACAGCAACAGTACAAGTAGCTCCGTTGAAGAGATCGGCGGCGACGAAAGCAACAAGGGTGGCGGTGGTGGATCTGTGAGGAAGTATAACCGGTCGAAGATGCCACGGCTCCGGTGGACACCCGATCTCCATCTCTGCTTCCTTCATGCTGTTGAAAGGCTCGGCGGCCAAGACAGTTAGTTCTTTCAATCCCACTTCTCTAGCTCCTTTATCTTTTTTTCGTTGGTTGTTGTCTCCAAAATTCGAATACACGATGATGTGAGTGTTCAATTGCACGTATTTTCTTCCGTAATTAATTTTTTTGTAAATCGATTTCTCCTCCACTTCTGCGCAGGAGCAACGCCGAAGTTGGTCCTTCAGTTGATGAACATCAAAGGACTCAGCATAGCTCATGTCAAAAGCCATCTTCAGGTATTGTATATTTATTACTTCGGAAAATTAAATTTTAACGAAAAAATACCAGTTTTCTTCCCCTCTCTTCTGAATTTATTTTCCACAGTTTCTCAAAAGTCCATTTGGATTGATTGATTGGGTGGGACTGATTCCAGAGCTCCTAATCTCCAATGGGTTTGAATTAATTTTTAGTTTTCATTTTTATTTTTTCTCATTTCAGATGTTCAGAAGCAAGAAGCTTGACGATCCAAATCAAGGTGGGACAAAATCCTGAGTTTAAATCTCATCATGTCTAATATATAACAAAATAAGGAAATTAGGGTTTCCCTTCAACTTCAATCTTGGTCTCTGAATTTTGGTGGGGGGTTTCATTCTAATTGATTTTCAGGGCATCATCAAGGACTTTTATTTCAAGGAAGGGATCATCAACACCATGTCTACAATTACCTAAGCCAGCTCCCTATGATTCAAAGCTTCACCCAAAGGCCTCCCTCAACTGGTTTCAGGTAGACAAAAAAACCTGTCATTACATCTAACCATGTAATTATTAAGCTCTTCTCATATTAGTTTTTATCATTAATTAGGTGCTACTTGAGAGATTCTAACCTGGTAGTACCTCCGGATTAAAGACCAGTAACACTACCACTGGACGAAATCCTTGTTCATTTTGAAGCTCATCGATCGATCTGTATTTTCGTATGTATGTAGATACGGAGATGGCGTTTCTTGGAGAGGGAACCAGATGTACGGCACAAGCTACAGCTCCTCATTGCTCAATAGAGCCAAACATGGTGGCCTTTATGGAAACTACAACAGCAGTACTACTACTACTCTCCCTTATAATTCTTCCCTCAGAGTCAGAGGGATACTACCCTCCCAAATAACCACTCCCATCAAAACTCACACCAACCACCAAGCTCTCGAGGCAGCCAGCAATAAGCTCTTGTTCACCAAACCGACAACCAGCACCATCGACTCCACTAAAACCTTCCACGAATCCCGGTCGAGCATCAGCAACGTTAATGGCGGTCTCAAAAGGAAGCCTACGTGGGATCCATCTCGTGGGCATGATTCCAACAAGAGCTCCTTAGACTTGGATCTGTCCCTCACAGTGAAAGCTGCAGCGAAAACGGTTGAGGATCATGATGATGATGATGATGATGAGGATGAAGTTAAGGTAGGTAAGAACAGCCATCATGGTACTATAACTAATGCTGATGATGTTGTTGATGAGAGCAGCTTGTCTCTTTCTCTGTCCTCGTCTTCGTCCTCGAAGCCGGCGGCGGGTGGATCGAAGGAGATGGAGATGCTAATGGAGTTTAACAAGTACTACCGTGGTGGACTGTTTATTAGGAGTCGTGAGGAAGATTATGATAAGTACTGTAGCTATGGTGGTGTTAATAAGCGTGCCTGCAGGGTGATGGCAAGTACTCTAGATCTGACTTTGTGAATGATGAGGACACGATAGTAGTCATTCTGAGTGAGATCTTGAGGTACTTGCTTTTTTCCTTCCCTGGAGCCAGCTGCATTGAGTTGTTATTGTTTGTGTGTCACATCTTGTACCAAGACTACCCAAACAGGAAAGAAGTGAAAATGAAAGAAGGTATTTTACATAAGTTACCACTCTTTGTAGTTATATTTTCTAAGAAAGTGATTAAGATACATAGATTTTTTTCTCCCTAATAATTCGAGTTATTGGGATCAACTGGTTTGTGAAATGATATCAGATCTAGTTTGTTTTTTAGTCATGTGCTCAAGTACTCACGACCCACAAATGTTAACCTGTTGCTTTTAAAGTACATGATATGTTGGACATGTGCAAACTTGAGTAGACTTTCGTTTGAGGGGTGCGTGTAAAGAAATAGTTAAACACCGCACATAGATCTCTTTCAACAACTCGAATTATCGAAACTGACCTATGTAGACTATGTATCTACTATATGGGGTTTTTGTTGTTTTTGCTGTTTGTGCCTTGTGCTTATTTGGTTGACCATGGCATGTAGGTACAAGAGTGAGTTTACGGTGGGATGGAGTTGAAGTTAAGTTGTTGGGGATAACCAAGAAAGACACATGCATACTTATACATTAGTACAGAATTTGCAGGTTGGGTTGTGGGCTTATTTGTCATGGTAGTCTTCACAAAAACAATTATATAATATACATCATAAAATAATGATATATATAGATAGATACCTATATCATGATCTGCATATGGAGACTGTCTGTCTGTTTTGTCTCTCTCTCTGTGGAAAGAGGAGAATCAAATGGAGATAGATGCATGGCAGAACTAGTTAGCTAGCGAGCATTGGAGTGCTCAAAGTATCGTATGTCTGCCAAAAAAAAAAAAAAAAACGATAGTCTTCTTCAATTTCTTTTCTTTCTGCATGGTGTCTATATATATAGAGCTGAGCTGTGCATATAAGTTAGTGGGGAAAGACAGCATTTTTTGGTAGTCTTGTATAGTAGTGGTAGAGAGATGTTGGATTAAAAAGTAGGGTTTTGTGTTCATCTAGGGAACATTTGGGGAAAGGACTGATTGTGTATGCATTTACAAGCCTATAGGTTGGTTGTTTGCTTGTTGAGGGGAGCATAAGCCTAGCTAGGGTTTTAATATTGTGGGGGGAAATGAATTTAGCTTAATTTTCTGCAGATGGGTCTCTTCAACAGGACAAATGCTCCTTTTTGGGTCAAAACAAATGCACTCTGAATCACAAAAAAATCCATCCATCCTTTTTGGAACTAGTGTGATTGCAGTCTGTATGTGGCCAAGGACATGCATGCATATCTATGTGCTTGAAAATTCAATCCCCCGTGTATCTTGGTGGTTGACTATCTCAATTTGTAAAAATCATTGAGAAATGTGGTGGGAACAAACAAATCTTTTAGCTTTTTACTGCGTTAAATTTATGGATTGTATGTGTACGTACGTAATAAATAAGTTGCCGTGCATTCTTTAAGTGTCATTTGCGTTGAATGTCTAACGTTTAGATCTAATTGTAAGTTATAATTTTTTTACGGATCACATGTAGTTGATTTTCTTTGGTTTTACTTTGAGCAATGATATTGAAGAGCCTGCAGCTTAGCCAGCTGTGGTAGGCAAGGCATTCCTTCAACCACAAAAGAGAAAGTAACATTGAAATGCATGCACGTGTGCCCTCTCCAACTTATTGTGAAATCATGGGTGCAGTCTTCTTTCCTTCTGCCTAGCTACTTTCCCATGAGCAATGTGATTGCTTTCTTCATTATACACACAACCACATATCAATGGAAGTTGAGTTCTTTATTATTATCTCTCTTTCGGTTGATGAGTCTTCTGAATTTTCAGGTTGATGACAAGTGAATGTTGGTTTGAAGGTTGGAACCTATACCTATTTTTTGTTGTTGTTATTCCTTTAACAATTAAGACTGATAATTAATTAGATAATTTCAATAATTTGAGTTTTTCTTTATTAGTAGTGATTTTTAATATCAATCAGTCCTTGCATGCACAAAAGACTGAACAACCCAAAAACTAATAATTATGATGAAAAAAGAATAAACAGAAGACATATTTTCCAATACCAAGCATCTTCATCCAACATGCCAAGTATTGTTTACACCAAAATAAATGATTTTCTTATTTCTCTCGACGTGCAATAAACCGCAAAAGAAAGAAGACGAAAAAAAACACACACACACAACGGTCTCATAAATTAATCTCCATAGAAGTAGTTTAACTTTTAAAGTAAATTCATCATCCACTTTCATTTCAACTTTTCCTAAAGAGGTATGTAATGGTCGTTCTATCAGTCACTACGAGCCGGTTAGAATAACGTAAATGATTTTGGTCACCTTGATCTGATTCTATTCTTCAACAGGATTTTGAAACTTATTATCATGGCGTTAAAAAGATGAGTTATTTTGTAGATTAAAAGGAACTGTCTACTCCTCAAAATTGTATTAACTTTATCGTTTGCAACTCCAAGTGTTGAGAGAGAGTTTTTTTTTTTTAATTTTGGGTTACATAAAAAAATAAGTTTCGGAATCGAATCGGCGTTCCGTTTATGAATAATTGTCTAATATGATATATTAAAAGAATTTGTTAAGCACCGTAGACACTGAATATATTTTATAATACAAGATTTATGGTAACCGAAAAGGCCCCTAGGAGAGCTACCTGCAAAAGTCTCGATTGCTCTACTTCCAGTCCACCCATTGGAAGAATTTCTGAGAGGGATTTTCTTGTGTATATAACTACCATGTGAAGAAAACAGGGTTAGAAATTAATGAAGAAGCTGTAGCCAAGACCATGTACGACCGCAGTCACAAAACCATTGGGAACCTAACATACAGTTGTTTCCCTCATTGCTTTCATGGAATTGGAAGCAGCTGTCATTTACTTTGTAATTCAACATATCAATATTCAATTCAATACGGGAAACGACTTGCCTGCCAAATACACAGATGATGAAGTCAATCGAGCATCACCCTCCCAACCCAATGTAAGAATTTACATTGACAAGTAAAGATGTACGAAAAAGTCTCTTGTCTTAGAGACTTGGGGTTTTATAATTGATGTTTAAAAGCTAAATTTTTCACTTAACGATATCAATTATTCACATAGATTCATTTGTGTTCACGCATATGATCTAGTTTTTCACGAGAATGTGAGAAAAGAATTGATTGATCGAAAGATAATAATAATGAGGATGCGTGAAAAATAAACCATGTGTGTGAATATAAGTAAACTTAATAAATAATTAGTAGAAAAATTAGATGTCAAAATTTTCTCAAATCTACATCTCTACATCTACATCTACATCTATTTCAAATTTCGTGGTCTGAGAGTGATTCTAGAAAGGTCTATTTAGTAATTGCACTTCATTTATTTAAATATTTAAAAAGTGCATTATTAGGATTCGAACCTTGGTCACTCAAATAAAAGAAGAGCATTTAACCAATCAGACTAGATCACATTTGTTATCATGCTTTTTTAAACAAAATTCATTGCTTGAAAGTCGAATGAAAAAAATACAATGAAAATATTGAGATTTGAAAAAGTAGATTATTGAGATTTGAAATTATGTTACTCAAATGAAGAAAAAGTATTATAAGTTTATAAACAACTAGACTACAAAGAATAAATTTATATCACCCCATAAAAAATACAAAGTAAAAGTAAAAGCAACTAAACTACATTGTACTTGTTGCAATTTCTTTAATTAAACACTAGAGACATATTCAGTATATGATGTTTTATATTTTATTTGAAGTTAGTGATATCTTATAGAATGAAATTAATGCTGAAATTAAAACTCAAGTAACATTGATTTGATTATTAAATATTTAATTGTACGTGTTGTTCAGTTTAGACAAAATACCAAGGATTGAAAAGGTGTACCGGAAAAGTCAGCGATAAAGTATATTATGCTAAAACCATGGTTTAATCATGGTTCAACAATTTCATACAACTAAATACCGCCTACTGGTTTTGATATCAGTATTAGGTTTTTTTGGTTGAACCGCCGGTATAGGATGGTTTTCAATACTTGAACAATATATATGCATAACCAAACCGTCGAACTTTGTGAGAAAAGTAGTAAGTTTTTATACTACAAATATAGTCATTCCATACATGAAATATGTTAAACTTAACACTACCATCGTACATATGTTGACTATATAAACCGGATACACTAACATGATATTTTTTTTGTTAACTTGTCAACTTGGAGTTTTTTTGCGTCTTATGCTAATTAACTTAAATAAAAAAGAAACAAACAAAAAGAACGGAAATATTCACTAACAAAAAAGAAAAATTAAGAGGGACAAATGAATAGTAACATAACCTCTCCTTCCAACCTATTTTCTATCTTTCTTTTCCGCTTCTTCACATCTCTCACCGTCAATAAAATTCAAACCAATGTTGGCTCCCATCTAGCAGCATATTTGAGTTCAATAGAACAAATGACAAAGTTATTTCAATTGGGTAACGACAATGCATAATAAATTGCTTCAACATACGATAAAATTGACAGTAACTAAACTGAAAACACGAAACAAGTTGTTGATATGATCCCAAACCCCTCGAATTACAACCCTCAAAGGATCGATCAAGAAGCTGGATCAATCACGGATAAGGAGGGCGAATTTTGTCCAAGTATTTTTTATGTTGCAGGATACCATCTTTGGAAGTTTGATACTCTCCGATGGTTCGAAGGAAATGCAAGGAAAGGGTTTGGAGCTGGACTAGAGATGTTTCTCTACACGATGGAAGCATTGGATAAGCCAGGAGAAGCCGTTTTGATGATTTTCCACAGCCTCCAAGTTGCTAGCCAGATGCTGGAATTTTGTCCAAAAACGGCTAAGTCTGGGACTGGGTTGGAGATGGCTACTGTAGGGCTTCATTCCAGACAGATGAGGAAGAACCATGGTCAGAGACGAGTAACCCATGAAACTACATTTCATAATCTACAACGTAAAGGCATTGGCTGAGGAATTGGATTTCGTTTGACCCATGAACAAGGCGGTCAAAGTTACTATGTTGAGCTGTTTTATTTCCTTGTAATGTGAGACTTGGAATCCTTGTGCCACAAGGATTAGTAGTAGTTATTGTTCTAGTTGAATTAGGAGTAGTTTTAATTC